TGCTTCCAAAACTGTCTGTTAAATCAGTTTTCCTTGGTTTTCTGCACAAGCATTTCTTTGTACCAGGTAAACGTATTAGATCATTAACATTCTACTTGTGCCACAATTCCTTTTCTTTCCTGCTCTATCTTAGGTATCATGTACTTTGGGATCCACCATGACCCTTTGGGGCTCTGCAGTATCATGTTCCTGCTGCAGCCCATTAACCCATCCAGTCCTAACTGGAATTGCCTTGCAGAATTTCAGAAAACACTGACCTAACTCCTGCAGCTTAATTTGCTGTTGGGCCTCAATCAGGTTGCTGCCTTCCCCTTCACTTTTTAAACAAAGCCTGTGCTTCATCACTTTTTGCATGATTCAGAAACTGTGACCCAGGAGAATGCTTGCTTTCTTGCTGAAGATATGGAAGACCTTCATCTTCCTATTTCACCGACAGGCTCAAGCTGCCTTCTTGCTGCAAACAGCCCTTACAAATGACCAATAATCTATTCTCTGTTTTGAAAAAATAGAATTTTACCTCCACGCAGTGAATATGTTTCTGAGTTTACTTGTTTTATTAGGTTGCCTTTCTTGCAAGGACTTAGTAGAAATTGTCTGTTGAGTTTTCTACAGGTTTAGGACTTCTGTGAGGAACCTGGGTTTGTTCCTCCTACATCTCTTTAATGAGAGTTGGCAGCTAGAAGACCAGCCCACATGCAACAACTCCAGAAATTTATTTGACCAGTGTAGGACTTTCTGATTTGTAAATAAAAGATGGGGTAACCATCTGTCTCACTGTTTGGTTCTGTCTACACTGTTTTTTCAAAGGCCTGTTTCATTCTTCCCAGCTAGTCTCTCTTCTGAGAATCACAGGGAGTCATTCAGCTACCTTTTATTTTTAGAAATTGATACATAGTTTTCCACAGAGACTTAGTGAGGCTTAACAAACTCTCTCTGTAGGTTCTCACCTTACTAGAGTTTAACCAGCTGTTTTGCAATCTCCAGAGCCATAGCACTGCTTATGCATATTTGGACGAGATGATCACTAGTAAGAAAATATTTCATTTACCCTGGAGTTTGAGATCTGCAGTGATTGATTGGTATGTTCAACTCCATAGGGGCAGGAACCAACACATGCCTGTTCTGGCAGGTCTGGAGCTCAGGGACATCTGGGCCAGTCTTTCTGCTGCTTCTTGGTGCATATTTGGCCGTTCACATTTCTGAAAGTTTTGTTTGGTGTTGCGTCCCTCCACAGATGAACTGCTTAAATAATTTTGTGAACTGTATTTAAAACAGCCTGCCTAAAAGTCTGGGAGACTATCAGCTGTTTCTCCAGCTCTCCAGTTTTGTATAACATGCCTTTCTGAGCTGTATGAAATGCAGCCTTGTTGCCTTTCCTCTTACAGCCTCTGCAGAGCCTTGTGAGTGCTGCCTTTTTGCTGACATTTTGCACTGTCTGAGATTGTCCATATCATGCCAACAGCAGTTTGCTACCGATTTTCTTTCTTTTCATTAAAGGGAACTGACTCCAGGGGAAACCACCTCTTTTTTTTTTTTCTAACATAGTAAGCGTCGCCCTGCTAGGCAGTCTTCAGGGGCTAAAGGCTGTCTCTCCTCTGATCCATTAGAAACCAATCTAAAGTGGCTGACATGAGCCATCCAGCTGTGTTTATAAATAGAATACATGGTGTCAGTATCCTGAGGTATGCAAGACACTGAAACTGGAGATATTTTTCCCTCTTTGTAGATCCCAAACTGTCGCTGGGCATTCCCAAGTTGCTACATGCCAAGGCAGCGGCAGGGAACAGTTTTCCACTGTAGATTCATTCTCTGTCCCTGATAAAGTTATTAATACAGATGCAGCCTTTAGGCCACTCTTCTCTGATCTTCACTTCCACCAGGGGATTGTTTTCCTGAACAGTTATAATTGTACATGAACTTGAAGTATTTTCTATCAGCATGTACCTTGAAAATATTTTCCTGAGAGCATGGCTTCATTGGCTGTTCCATCAACAGTTGGGCCTCAAGTTGAAGAGGCCTTAACTCTGTAGGAAGTCTGCTAGACTTCCTGCAGGAATGAAATTTGAACTTGTGATCAAACACCGTCAGATATGTTCCATCTGTAACAATGTCTCATCTATTGCAGATTCTTAAAATCCCTTAATTTCCTCTCAATAATGCTGCTCCAAGATGGCTTTGTCCTGAGACAGCTTACCTTCACCTCCTGCATGCCAGAGATTATTTAGCCAAGTATATACCTGTCTTCAAAAATTCTGGTCTGTTCATACATCTGTACCTGAAGACCTGTAGTTAGGATGGATGGGAAATATTGCAGGAGCAGTGCGGCAACTTCATCGTGTTGGCTGAAGGTTTCAGGTCTTTCACACATCCAGGCCAGCCTTCATCAGACTTATTCATCCTGCTGTTGAAATGGCAGGCATTTCAGTTGATTTCTGGATGGATATCAGATGTCTTCAGGATTCCCCCTACTGCACCATGAAGTCCCTGCTTCTTTCCACTTTGTATCAGAGTAGGTCTGCCCCACCTTTCTCGTGAGATGGGACAAACTGAAGAACACCCTTATTTTGAAAGGTAGGCCTCCTTATCTCATAGTCCAGGAAAGTTTTGGATGGAGACCCCAACAACTCCCTAAAAGTACCTGACATTTCAGCTAGTTCTAAGACTGCTGTTGACTTGTAGCTGTTGTCTCATGCAGTGCACATACCTCTGATTTTCCCTATCTGAAGAAAGGCCAGTCACACCATTATCTTACAGACAGTGAGTACCCAGCCATGCCTCCAAAAAAGCTTTAGCTAAAGCTGGAAATGTTCAAGTGTATCCTCCCTCCATCTCCTCTTGAAAGGGCCTTTGCTTTTCGAGTTCCATGTAGAAGCCTGGGTTTGGCCTTTAATAAAGCGTCCGTAGTGCCTCCAGCTGGTTTTTCTTCCTTAGATTGTCTTCATTGCCTAGACCGAAAATTAAGAAAAAGTCCCTCCACCCATCTTCTCCAGCCCCGTTTTCATATCGCACACTACAAGACCAGCTCTTAAAAAGAGAACTGTAACTGGAAACAGAAACACAAATAGGAAGGCCTAGCATGAATAGTCCCACACACACTGCCAGCACTGATACACAGTTGTCAGGTTTGCAGCATCTTCCTGGCTGGCACTGAGCAGAGCTCCCCAGCTACCCACCACAGCAACAATTAACCCATCATCTTCAGACCAAACTTCTGTGGCTCTCAAAATACGAGATCATCTGTAAGCTTGCAGACCACTGTGCTATGGATAAGGAGTAGGGTAGTTAAGTAAGTATGTGAAGGATCTCCTGCAGCTGTCCAGACAGAAGTCACAAGATTTAGTTAACTTTGCTCTTTTTTTGTCTCTGGTAAATGAGGATTTGCCAGGAGTGTATGTGCATAGTACATTCTGGGTTTTTCCTTTTTCTTCCCTCCAGCATTTTCAGATGGCATGGACAGTATTAGTCTAGACTTGTCTGAACTGACTTCCAGAAAACCAGCAGTTGAGGCACTACAAAGAAAATAATGGACTGTCAAATACTAGATTTCTCTTTGTGACTTTGTCACTCACATCTCAAGAACAGATTGTCTGGCAAGGCTATAAACTAAGTTACTGCGTTTATTTTAGCAAAGTTCTGAGTTGCTGCACTGTTGAAGATTGGTAGTAAGGGTCGGCTTTGTAAAAGCCACTGGAAAGATGAAATTTTCTCCACTATGATGGAGCTGGAGCCTTTTTGCCCCTATCAAACTTAAGTGTCATAGGAATTCAGACTGAAGGTGAATAAATCACCTGAATAAATCACAGTAAGATGGACAATATTTTTCAAGCTAGACATAAAAACCCCACCCCTGTTTTTCATCTGTAATGTTACCTTGTCTGATCCACTTACTTCTTTGTACATGACTAACCTCTGATAAGCATTATGACAGCCTTCTAACTAAACTAGCTATCTGTCTGAGGTAAAAATACACCAAGATGCATCAACAGTCCTGTCAACAGACTCTGTAGCACTTCCTCGTATCTTGGTGGTCTCTGCGAGGAGAAGTTTGTGGGAAAGTGAATTCATCTTCAACCTTGAAATTCTAATGCTGTGCTGTCAGCAGTGGCTGGCTGTGTCACATGGACAACCCTGCTGTTTGAAAACTTACAGAGATCATGGATAGGTCTTTACAGATGCCCTACATGCACTCTATCTTTTAGTAACACTAAGTTTGTGCTGTGATATTGCCTGAAGCCTGTGGACTACAGGAACTTGGTTTCTCAAATTCCATGCATCTGGATTATGATTTTTATCAGGAAACATGATACTCATAAGGCAGTGTGTATGGATTGCTAAGATGTGGACAAAGCTGTAGAAGACCTGAAAGGCATCAAACCTCTCAAAAGGCATAGAAAAGCCATTTATCTTGCAAAGATGATGAGGTAGGGTTGTTCCTCTCCAATTTTCACCAAGCACAGTATTCTTTCTCCTGTAACTGATGGGTCAGCTATATATAGGACATGTTAGTGTGTCGGGTAAGGTGGTGCCAAATTCTACTGCAGCATCTGCCATACAGTTGAGCTTCAAGTTTATTGCACCCAAGTTCATGTGCACAGTTGACTCTTTTGCTCCTTAACAGAACAACAGAGCTTCACTTTCCAATTTCTCTAAATTAATGGGTTTGCTGGGTGAGACTATACATTTTGTAGCTGATTGTGCAGTAGCAGCAATAGGTTCTGCTTTCACCACTTTGTGGCATAGGCTTCTAAGAAGCCTTCATGCTACTGATGGATGGATTCTGGTTAAAGCTTGTACTTGATTATGTTTTCATTTGAATATTCAATAGGTGCAAGAGTTTGAAATGCTACTACTGTAGCCTTAGTCCAAGGCAGACTTCACAAGCCCGTCAGTGCTTCTGCAGATGACTAAGTTATTTACATGCTTACATTTAAGATATATCTTTAAAACAGAGTTATAAATAGAACAATAAAGTGCATGAAAAATCTCAAAACGTCACTACAGACCTGAAAGTTGCAATATAATTGAAAACCAAAGACCTTTCTTAAAAGTTCACAGAACTTCAGCCCTCAAGTGAAACAACTGCTAGTTTAGGGAACCAATTCTGTTAAGTCATACCAATATTACAGTGTTAATACTTTTAAATTGCTAGTCATCATTTAAACAATTACAGAGAGATTTTTAGGAGCACACATTAGAATTATGGTTCCAAATATTAATGGATTTCAGTAATTCATTCAGCTACCCTATGTACTGCTGAGCTTCCATATGCACGTACATTCAGATAACTCCTTTCCAATTTAAAAAAATATACATGTTCAAAATGAAGACAATTTCACTAACAATGTGGAAAGACAGAAGCATCAACTGCCTGGCACATCTTCATCCACATTAGAGAATGCAGAAAGAGAAAGCATTCTATTTTTATTCAGAGTTCTACTGTCAGTCATCATGAAATCTACCTTTTTTTGAAGGGCCTGGAACCTACAAGGGTTCACAGTTTGGGCGGTTACTTCTAACTAGCAGAATTATATTCCTGTAATCTGGCATGACAGATTAAAATGTAAATGCACATACTGTCAAGAGTATATGTATAAAGCTAATGAGGACTGGAAGAATAACTACATTGTTAGTGTCATAATGATGTCTTAAGTCTTTACAGTTTACTGCTTAGTTCTTTGTCTTCAAGGATGCCTCAGGTAATAGGGACATCTCAGTGCAAGAGCTTCAGGGCAAGTAATGTATTCTGCCTGCCACAACAGGATTTGAATCTTGATTTATACCAATGCATAGGGTTGCCTTAAACAGTAGAGAGAAAACAGAAGTTTTCAATTCCAGGCGTTTCAAAAAAATGAAAGACAACATCTAAACTCCTTATTACTAGTGAAAAAGACTACAAGAACAAAGCATACCTGAAAATAACCATACCAACCAGCAGTGGTACATAATAATCTTACAGAAGAGCATTTTTGGGATACTCACACCATTCCTTTTGACACTTAGAACTTTTTAGTAATTGCTTGCATCCTTCCAACCAATTGCTATTAGGGTGGCTGAAAAAGGGTTCTTTCCTGAGATACCCACTCAAATCCCCATGAAATACTGTCCTGAACAAACCACTGTTTGACTAAAGAGTAGCAGGAGGAGATTTAAAAAAAAAAAAAGTCCTAAAATCCAAAATAGCAGATGGTAAATCTCAAATTGCATGCTTTAAGTAACAAGTATGTGCCTTGAAAAAAAAAAGAATCTTGCACCTAAAATTATACTGTGCTGTCTGCTTTTAGAGCAAAAGGACATTTTTGGACTTTTTTTTTTTTAATCAGAGATACTTTTTTCTTTGCACTTCATCTAATGACAGTTTTGTTCTTAAGCTGCTATTAAAGGGCACTTTATATTTGGCAATCTGGGTATCAGAGACAAGGACATGGCATTATTCCTTCATTCTGCCTGAATGTTTTAACCTTTAAACTTTTTTTTTTTAGCTTTTAATAGTGCTTACAAAGTAAAGGGGGAGGGGGGAGAATACATATACTTTAATCAGGTTTGGTTCAGACCACATAGAATAACACATTAGAAAAAAAGGCAATTACTTAAAAATAGTTGTATTTATATTCCACAATTTGCTCAAATACTGTTTGTTTGTTGGGTTTTTTTGGTTTTTTTATAAACTTTCTACAGGATGTTTTAAAACAAGTTCTTCACATTGCTCATCAAACTATGTACTTATGGAATTTGAGGGAAATAGTTCTGGTTGTTTTTACAGTTTAACACATATACAGTACCAAAATGATGGTGGTTAGTCACATGCAGTCCATATGAGATTCTAACATAACATTTAGTGAATTTTCTGATGTTGACCATCCCTTCGATGCTGAAGGTAACGCATCTGTGGAAAGCAGAGACTGTAGATTTGGGTTACTGCTCTCTGCATCTTCCAGTTTTTCAGTGTTGTCCTCCCAATTAATGTGGAATCTTGTGACTCTGGGATTAGATGCCAAAATATTCCTTTGAAGCTGGGAAAGAAGAAAATATATGGATTGTAATATGTACATCTCAAATGGGAGCTCACATGCATATAGATTTTTTTTTCCTTTTACTCCCCATAGTCTTGCTTGTGTAAAACAATTTGTTTAAAAAGGGAATTTATATAAATGTGAATATATAGCTACTACCTGTGGACCAGAAATGCACTTACAGCACACATTACTTAGTCATTTACTCTAAAATCCTACTCAGCAAAAGAACTGCTTTCTTAAGAGGATATTTTAACTACTCCATGTGTTCAAGGCTGTGCAAGACCTCCACAAGTAAAGTGCAAGTGTTTATTATTTTATCCAGCTTTTAGTAAAGGAAATTACTTTTACTCAAAGATTCTGCAAACTACTGTACTCATAAAATTTTGCATCAATTTTCCAGTATTTGCAATAACTATCAATTCCATCAACTCCCCATCTTCATTTAAGAGTACAACCTATCCTTAAGTTACCAAACATTAGACTGATTTCACTAAGTAGATTTATCTACTAAAGTTTTCAAGTAAAAGTAAAAACATTACTTAGGTCTGGAAGATACTAACATTGTGGCAGTGGACATGATTAGTTATATATTTTATTCTCATGCTGGACTTCATTTTCTTTTGAAAACACATTGCATTTGTTTATTTATGCAGCAAAAAAAAAAATGCTAATTTTCTGTTTATCTTGAGAGGGGTAAAAGATCATAGTTACCTAGAGGATGGCAAGTTATCACCACTGAATACTCGTTATGAAAGTTAAGACTGATAACAGGAAAAGTCTGCTTTGTTGATTTTATTCTCCTAGAAAGCATGCTCTCATTAAGTATTTCCCAATCCCTCATGCAAACTAACAAGATCGCTACTTTTTTAAAACCTAGTAGGGTTTATTACCACCAATTAATTTATTAACCTTCTACTTGTGTGCTTCTATTCTGAGGGGGACTTCTTATACAAACGTGCTAGCTTTTGCTGTTCTTTTTCATATGAGCAACTCTAGCTTTTTATATAAGCAGAGAATGAAGACAAGTAGAAGCCACCTTTGGCATTTACAACCAACATGTTATGACTTCGGTGAAAGAAAGAAAAAAGAAAGGAACACTAAAAGTTTAAGAATCCTCAAAATAAAATGAAATGTAATTTTGAGAACATGTTGAGTATCTGATCCCTGAAAATTAAGTTAAGCATAGAAAAACATACTATTTCATTTCATTTTTTCATTCTAGTCCTGGGCTAATTGTTACCATGAAGGATATCTTTTTTTTAAAACTTAATCTGCATACTTCCTTCGTCAAGTTGTCCATTCACTGGATAATCATCCAACCAGGTTACCCATCTTCTCTCATTTTACACCTAACTTGTTCTTCAGGTTTTTTTGTTTGTTTCAGTTTTGCAGAAACTGCAGCTCTGACACTAGAACAGCTGGGTAACAACTCTGGTAAATTAATATCTACTACTTAGTTCCTGGCTGATGGGCCTAGAAAAGCATTATTCTCTTTTTTTGAAGAACAGAGCCACTTTGTCAATGCTGGTGCAGGTAGAAATAAATCCACAACAGTTTATTTCACACAGTTGGCCTGAAAGTGCAGCCAAGTTTTCAAGATGGTGGAAACTGTTGATGGTTTCTCAGCATTATCCAAATTTATGACAACTACATGGTACTTCTAGTTTGTTTTCCCAAGTATTTTCCATTATTTAATGCCTTATTCCATGCACTTTATGAAATCACTTGATGTTTGCTTTTGTTTCTTAAAAAACCTCTAAGCATACCTCTGATATATGACTAGAACAAAACATGCCTTACCTTAGAAAAGTCTGGCTTTACAGGTGGATTCTCTCTCAGTTCTGTTTCAGTATATTCATTGTTTACATAGTAGCCAACTCTAATAAATTCTTGACCTCGGTAAGTGCATGTAATTAGCACAACTGTTACACCTACTGCATCTGCATCTGGAATAAGCCCTGGGTTAGGTGCATCAGCCTAAATGTGAAAGGGAAAGATAAATTAAAATAAAATTGATACTACGTGACTTTCTAGCAGGAGAATCTTAAACAGCATGTTTTAGCAGCTGAGTAGTGACTATATTTAAAATTGTTCAAGTTAACCAGAAAATATACCTGCTTTCACAACATCAACCCTAGATTTAGGACACTATCCTGTAGAGACAGAATTAAGTAGAGTACAGTAATATTGTTGTCTGACATTTCTCGTGGGCGATTAGGCAAGTTAGATCCCAAACTGCTTTTAAATTTAAAAAAAAAATAAATAAAAAAATCAGCTGAACCATTGTTTGAGCAGGTGTACTAACATCACTCCAATCTACAGTGCTCTGGTTCTTCAGCCTATCTTGGCAATTCATTAGAGCGAGATTATTTTCTTTTACACCCTCAAGATTGATTTGGTCTATATGTGTGTTTTTAACAAGACTAAATCTTTAAAACTACAGAAATGGGCTATGGTGAGGTTTGAGCTGTCCCACAGACTTCTAGGAAAGGAATAAACTACTTTCTCTCGCCTCTTTCCTAATAGCTATGTTTGTTAAAATTTATGCAGTTAAATGCATCATCTCTCCAAGACACCTGACATTTTCAGCCAATATGCAAACCTCATTAATAGGCAACTCCTAGTGATCTTCCTCAGTGTCCTTACTTACTACATCTCTGCAGGTTTTTTTCAATAAAATTTGCCTCATAAAATGTGGCTCACATCAGTTCCTTAAAATGCTTCCTAACTCGACATTTATTGATAAAATGTGCTGCCTCATTCTGCTGTGGGATTTAAAATAACAGCAATCAAGGCATAGTGAAACAGCTTCATATTTACAATTTTACGTGAAGATCTGAAGTTAATAACAAACACCCATGTTGCAAGAACAAGTTGGTATTAATAACGTGTGTTCAAATGGTTTGGGTGTAACAAACCTTGCCTAGGGACAGAGGATGAATGGAATTAATTCCTGATGTCCCTCTATCCCTACTTTTCTGTAGTATTTATATGCTCCAGCACAGTGAAATTTGGAAGCTACAGCTCATGCAGCATTGGCTTCTACTCTTTGCAACTGCAATTCTAAGCCTTCAAAGCAGTCTTGCTCTTTGTAAGAAGCTGTAGATACTTTGCAGAAGGATTAGATGATCAGACCTCTCAGGCAGAAAGACACCAGAGAGAGGAGAAGAAACCAGGGAATCAGGTGGAGCACAACTTCCTCCAGCCCTGAAGTAAATAGAAAATGACCAAATGGCTTTACAACTTGAATATGGATATGGAAAAGATGTCTGGAAGGAACAGGACAAGTGCAGAATCTTGAGGAAATTAAAAGAACTGCCAATACAGATTAAATCACTATTTTAATTCAGTAATCTTGTTCTAACAGTGCCCAGAAGCATTTGATTACTTTAAATTCTACAGTAATGGACAGCAGAAGGGCACTGTTCAGTTTATCTCCCTGTGAAACTCACACCCTAGTGTAGGATTTTAGTTTTCCAGGTTCCCACTGTCATGTCCCGTCTTGTAATATCCCATGACACAGTTCTGAAACCAAGGAAATACTCTGTTCTAATCCTTCTTATCTCTCCAGCATTGTTTTGCTGCATGGAGAAGACACTGAAGATTGTTTAAAACAGTTCTCTCAAATTTTGAACTTCCCACCTTTGATGTCAAAGTTCTTAATTGCTCAGGAACCAAATGATCATACAAAGGTGGAAGAAAAAAAGAGCTTGGTATGATCAAGTGATAAACGCGCAGCCGCAGATATTTTGGTATTTGTTATATATATATTTTTGATATTTGGGCAAAGAGAGGCAGTAGATTATTTTTTGCATAAAAATCAGTCTTAATATTCCATTCTTATGCTATAAATTACTCAAGAGTTTTATGAAATCACTCAATGTGTATGTTCTCTTAAGTTATCTTGCTTTTCCACAAAACATTTATTCACATAGTTATTACTGCAGAGTAGGTTGCAAAGGTCATATCCCTACTTAAAGACAGTAAATTATTTATGTGCTTGTATTCTCAAAAAACGAAGTTTCTGTGATTTTATTACAAATCCCTACATGCATAGAGAGGAACCAGATTTCACTATGTATGTCTTGGCATTTAGAAATAAATAGGTCAAGCTGTGGGCCTTTACTATTGACATATTTTTAAATGGTTAAAAAAAAAAAAGAAAAGGGGGGACTACTTGTGTCAGTCTGAAAAGCACAATAATTTTCCATCTTTCTGTACGTAAGGCTGAATTCCCAACCAGATATACAGCTTCCTTTCAACTAAGGTGGTTTTATCATCCTTGGTATTCTGTCTGTGTGGTACTCCATTTTAGTTGCTATTTCAGCCATTTTCCTATCTCGCAAAATCTGCAGTATATTATCTGAAAATTTTATACACCTCCGCAAAGGTCCTTTCCTTACGCTGTCCCTGGTGAACACAATCTCTTTTCTTTGTATTACGTGCCTCCTGCAGTTCTGTGCCTTGCCCCATTCTTGCCTTCCCTTGCTTGATCTCTCCATATTCCAGGCTGCTTCAGTTTGGTGAATAAAATGGCTTCAGTCATCAGCAAAGGCTTCTTGCAGCACTTTGGGTTTTGGTGGTCTCCTGTGTACACACTAGCTCAGCCCTACCCTCACTTGCAATCCAGAGCTTTTGAAGCATAATATACTCAGACCAACAGTTCTTCCATAAGAAATAAAAGGGATACTTTAATATATCACAGAAGGAATCTCTTACAGGACCTGCTACAATCTAAGCAAGGTGTCTACATATCTCCTCCTAATTTAGCTGTAGTGTCATTTATAACTAGGATACAATTACCGACTCCATTCTACATAAACTGCAAGACCAGTAAATTTAGTTTCTGAGACCTTCCTAATCATACAGCCAAAACATGCCTTTTTAGGCACCTGCTTCCTGCTCCTTCCCATCACCATCAACAATGAGTCTTTGTAACTGAGAACATCATTTAAATTAGAAATGTAAATGCCAGCTGATTCCTCTGCATACACTACCACAAGGTAGCCCCTTTGAGGGCAATAGAGGATCACCTATTTCTGACCAATTAATGCCATAAGCTATAATAACCTGATAATTGAAGAACTGTTAATAAATGATGCATTTGTTACACATCTACTTTATTTGTAGTGTGGAAAAAATTAGGCCTGACTCCAAAACCAAACAGAAATGTTTCAAGACTGATTTGCACATATGTGGTTGATAAATGCAACGTCCAACCTAATCCTATTCCTTTAACCTGTCCTTTACAGAAAAAAAACCAAACACACACCAAAAAAAAAAAAACCCGAAACCACAAAAACCAAACAAAACTTCCCTGGAACTCAGAGATGCCTCACAAACGTTGACAGCATTTTAAAACAGTTACAGTAATAGTGAGAAATGTATTCATTAGCACTTTGGGGTTTTTTAATGCTCATCCTCCAGCATGCATCTGCCATTAAATAGTTAATTGAATTTGCACTATTTGGGATAGTAGTAGGGTCCTTATACTCAGTTTCTATCTGATTTTTCGTCTGATGGATTCTGCTCTCAGTTTACAAGAAAAATTCTTGTATCTCATAGGGAAAAGAGTGTTAGTTTTAATCAAAATTACAGGTTTGATTAAAAAAAACTAAAAAACCAACACCACCAAAAAAAAAACCCCACACCCAAACAATTACCACCACAAAAGAAACTACCCCAAACAAACAAACAAAAGCTTCTGTACGAATTCGGGCAGGTTCACCTCAGGTTTTTTCCCCTCCCTGACTTAAAATGGAAACCAGAGCAGCCTAGTAAGCCATCTCAGTGCTGCTCTTTCCCTGTTTTCTTTCCCTTCATTAACTTTTGGCTTTAACAGCAGGATATTATAGGACTGTCACATTCTCTAGACTTTGTTGGACAGTCCTGATCCACACGTTTTTCCTAAATGCCTACTATCTACCACTGGATTTCTGTCTTTATTTTAGAAGTCACTGTATTTTGTTATGATTTAAGCATGCTTAGCCAAACATAATGATTGAACATGTGTCCTGCCAAACAGAAGTGAACTTCTTGATTTTTCTGGCTGACTTTTACACTGATCTTCTGAAGGTGTTGTCTACATTAACCTAGTGCTCCTGACTGTCTGAAACTGCCACCAATTGCATTGAGCCTGATGGTGCTGGTGTAAACCAGGTAACTGGCACTCTTGATTACCGAGTGATCTAGAATGCATTTACAAACCAGACTGGCTAAAATTATCAGTAGCTGTGGGAACTGTGCTTATGTCACGATATCTAATTATTGATACCACCAATGAAAAATGCCAAGAAATATCAGGGGCAAGAAACATCAGCTTATGAACAGACTTTAAAGGCAGGTGTATCATACCTGAGGAGCTGACAAATATTTTTTTCTAGCTTACCATTATTTTTCAAGTGCCTCTTAGTTTGAAACAGTCCTCTCTAAACAAATCAGCACAACCCTTTTAGAAACCATTAAATCAAACTTACCTGAAATACAAACATGTGTCTGCCTGCAGGAACAGGTCCGACTAAAACAGAGTCTAACACCTGATCATACTCTTCACTTTCAGCTGAACCCACATAAATTATTTTCCATTCCAAATCTACAGCAAAACAAAATAATAATAAAAAAACATTATTTAATCTTTACAGTTAAGGGTCTTCAACTGTTGCCTATCTACAGTTTTGAGGCCTAAAATTGCTTCTTTGTAAACAGGCCTAAAATAAGAAGAACCTGTTTTCATGGGGGAGATTTACTGATGCTTGACCCTATCCTCACAAATCTTATCCCACATTGTCCCTCTAGTCAGCTGGTACCACAGCAATCCCTCATTTTCATGGTGAGGTTAATTTTCAAATTTTATACAGAGAACACGGCCCATTTACTAATTGGGAGCTTGTTCAGCACCTTCTCAAAGTTGGTCTGAATGGCTGCAGCAGAGGGATGATGCCTATATACACCTATAATGCACTGCATGCCTTGAATACTGACTCACCTCCCAAAACCAAATTCCTGCCTTCCACATATACACCTCACACCTTAAATTACACAGATTATGGAAGGTAGTTAATTGAGTAAGAAAACCCACTGTATAAGCACCAGGCACGCTAACTGTATGCCCCCATTCCTTCACAAGTCACTTGTGCAACCCATGAAGTATGTAAAATTGTGGTAACATTCAAGATCATATTCTTGAAGATATCGGTGCTTGCATTTTATCTACATCCTGAAGTGGAATTATAGGCAGAAAAAAAAAATTCAGTTTTGCTTCTTAAAATAATGCACCAAACCCAAACATTTCTTATAATTCAGTTTTTCCTAATTCACTTTCCCCGACAGGTGTTTGAAAGTTGAAATTGCACATTAGCCCCACATTAGCTCTTCCTGGGCCAGCTTTTCACCTTTCCTTTTTGATTCAAAACCACATGTGTAAATACACATATGGAACTAATCTTAAGATGAGACAGATTTTTGGGTTTTTAAACAAGAGGAAAAAGACATAAACATTACAGAAAACTATGACTAACACTTTTATCTTAATGAAACTGTTGCTTCAGATTGTACCTTGAAAATTTACATGGTATATTTCTTTTTTTCCCCTTGTGAATAATGCCCTGATAGCCTATGCAAAAGCACAGACCTGTACTCTATTACATTTACTTGATTACACTACACTGCAAAATCCAAAGGTCCACATCACGGTTTCTTGATGCAGGAACAGTACTTAAGTATAGAAAAAACTTGGCACTTTAACAGAACTTGGCTGCTTTAAGATTGCAACTCTTTCTCCTCATTAGTTAATTTTTCTTGCTTATGTTTATCATCAATGCAGGTTTTGTGGGTTTAACAAACAGGGCTTGGGAAGTGATTTTACTACTCTGTACAGCACAGCAAAATTAGCCGGGTACTGTATCAGAGGTTTTATTTACCTTTTAAGCATGTAGTATTAGCTGTTGACAGTACTGCAGGGTACTCATCCAGGACAATTAAGGAGCTTTCTTGTCTGCATCTGAGGACTAGTTACTACTTACAAGAATTGAGGACTTTAGGCTAAAGTGCTTAAGATTATCACACTACCCTACGCCATTATTCTAGGAGAACAGTATAAAGCTCATTCTAAACCAGTAGTATTTAGTACTAAAAATGGACTTTTTAGAAGCTTTAAATTATAAATTTAGTAGTGAACCTAATGTTGTTTAATTATCTTGATACAGAACAGCAGCTTTAAGAAAGAAAGGTCTGGAGTTTGTGAATTTAATTTTAAGATCAGTGTTACACAGGACTGGCTGAAGAGAAAACAGCACAGTAAACAGATGTACTAGCAACACAGGAAAGCTAAGGCAATGACTTTTCATCAACTCTGTGTTTAATTTTATTTTTAAATGTGCAAGATAGCACTGTTCATCCCGAATTTATCCTGTAGTCTAACTTGCATTTAGATGGGGGAAGGGAGCTGAGAATTTTGCATTGGACTATCTATAATTCTTCTCATCCCGACTGTTCAGGATTAACTTTAACATAAATCCAGAGTGTCAGGAGCACGTCACATACAGCTGTGCACAACTGGAAGGAAAAGCATAACACCTTACACCGAGCCCCTGTGTCGGGCACTGCCACCCGCCACAGCAGTTGCCACCGAGGGGTCCAGGTCTGTACCTCAGATGAGGCCAGGCTGACTGGAAAGATCCAGCCAGCGACCTGGAGACGGGCATGGAGCACAGCTCCAACTAACGGGTCAGTTAGCTACAGAAGGGCACGGGACCGGCGGCGGAGGCCTAGAGGAAATCCCTGGCTCAGGAGAGACTTCCTCTAAGTTCCCGCCACCGCGGCCGTCCTTCCCTCCCTGCCCGCGCTGTCACAGCCCTGTGCCGGCACGCAGGAGTACGCGCTGCTGCAGAGGCAGGCGGGGTGAGCGAGCTGAACCGCAGCGACAGCGAGCCTGCCAGCGAGAGCACCCAGGCTTAGCACCCAGCTCGCCCCTTTCTCCTCGGCCCTGCCCTCGCTCCTCCGCCCGCGGGGGCTCCCTGGCGAGCAAGCGGCGCTGGGCTCCGCCGAGTGCCAGGCAGGCAGCTGTCCTCTCCCGCTCACAGGCAGCCCCAGCCGAGCGGCCTCTTCCTCCTCCCAGGGTAGCGGCCGCCGCTGGCTCGCCCCGCGGGCGGGCAGGAGCGCCCCGTGCTCCCTCCCTCGCCCCGAGCCGTTCGAAACTCCCGCCCGCGGGGCGACGCGCGGCCTCTCGGGGCGCGTCCCGCGGCCGGCCGGGGGGCGGCGCTGCGGAGCGCGGCCGGGGCGAGGGCGGCCCG